GTAGCTAAAAGCTAAAGTCACAACAGGAACCTGAAGTTACACAAACAGTAGCTAAAAGCTAAAGTCACAACAGGAACTAAAACCTGAAGTTACACAAACAGTAGCTAAAAGGAAAAACTATCAAACAGTGAAGTGTGAGTTTATGAAGATAATCTTGCTGAAATCTTTATTTTTTCCTGCTGTTCTCGCGGCTCGGCTCCTTTATTCCTCGTGTACCCCCCTCCAACACGAGTTAGCCCCCTCCAACACGAGTTGGCCCCCTCCAACACGTGTTAGCCCCCTCCAACACGAGTTAGCCCCCTCCAACACGAGTTAGCCCCCTCCAACACGAGTTAGCCCCCTCCAACACGTGTTAGCGTCAGACCAAGCCTGATGCTGAGTCTGATTCATTGGTTCTCCTCAGATCTTCTGACCCACTGGAGCACAAAGTCCCAGACCCACCACACCTCATCCTCATTAACTCAAAGGTCAGAGAGAATTAATTCTGACAAAATGAGCTTGTTTACTGCCTCACTTCACACCTGTCCCCCCCCACCGGACCACCGGAGTCGGAGCCAGATCTGAATACTCTCTGTGAGTCAGGCTCAATTATAAAACCCTCGGCGTCTCACCGTGGAACACACTTCTGACTGACTGACATCTGCTTTTTGCCATGAAGACATTCGTCGTGACGTTTGTTTTCTGACGGTCACTCACCCCGAAGTTGGAGGCGGCGAATCTGGCGGGAGCGGAGACGTTGGTGGAGGCGGTGGGGTGGGCGTAGAAGGCATTGATGTTGGCCAGCAGGGTGCTCATCACTGCCGGCACCTCGGGCAACATGTACTTGGAGGACAGGCAGGAGAAATGGCTGAGGAGGAGAAGAAAGGAGGCAGAAAGTGAGAAGAAATGATGGGCAGGAGCTCCAACAGGAAGAATGTGTTTAAAAAAATAAGTTTTTTAAAAACAGGCAGGAGCTGGCTCAGAGCTGGTCAAAGGAAATAAATTAAAAACAGTAAAACACTCAGATATCGAGTTCTGTGCACAAGTCCTAAATCAACCTTAACTTAAGGGTTGCTTTCAAAGATTCTGACAAAAAACAAAACAAAAGCTAAAGGATTTTCTGAAAAGGTCTTAAAAATAGATATTTATAAGATTTTTAGTCCAAATTTATAATATTATTCTCTTCCTACTCCAGCAAACTGTTTTATCTTATGCTACTCTCAGTTTTCAGCTACTGTCTGCTACTTTAAGCCTTTAGCTATCCTTTTTACATTTTAACCTTTAGTTAGCATTCAGTTACTCTTCATTTTTGCAATTATTGGCTTTTAGCTACTCTTTTTCTACTTTAGCCTTTAGCTAAACTATTGGTTATTAGCAGGCCAAATGCTACTTTTACATATTTAGCAACCGTTCTCCGATTTTTAGCAAGTCTGTTGCTATATTTAGCTAGCCTTTCCAGACGTTTAGCTATACTTTTGCTATACTTTTCATATTGTTTAGCTTTTTTTAGCTTCTATAGCCATTAATTACTTTTCTTTTTTGCTAAAACTGGCTTTTAGCTACAGATCTGCTACTTTTAGCCACTATTTTTGTACTTTAGCCTTTAGTTAAACATTTGATACATTTGGTTATTAGCTGGCCAAATGCTACTTTTATTTTTAGCAACTGTTCTCCTACTTTTAACAGGTCTGTTGCTACTTTTTAGCAGGCCTTTTCAGATTTTTAGCTACCCTCTTAGCTATTCTTTTGCTATCATTTTGATTATTTTAGCTTTTAGCTAGCCTTTAACTAATTTTCATTTTAAGCTTGGCTTTTCCTCCTTTAGTTTTAGCAAGTTTTCTGCTACACTTTTTTTCTACCATTGGCTTTTAGCTCCAGATCAGCTACGTTTAGCTGCTCTTTTTCTATTTTAGCCTTTAACGATACTCTTGTTAGTTTTGGTTACTAGTTATTTGCTACTTTTACTTTTAGATTCCATTCTCCTACTTTTAGCTTGTAGTTGGTATTTGCTACACTTAGCTAGCCTTTTCTTGTATTTAGCTTCTCTTTTGCTATATTGTTAGCTAACCTTTTGATATCATTTTGGTTTTTTTTTGTTCTTAGTAGTCTTGTCCCACTTTTAGTTTTTGCTACCATTAGTTTAGCTACAGATGTGCTACTTTTATAACTTTTGAATATTAGCTGGCCATTTGCTAATTTTAGCTTTTTGCTTGCCTTTTGATGCATTTAGCTTTTTGCTATTTTTTGCTACTTTATCTTTTAACAACCCTTTTGCTTCTTTTAGCTTTCAGCAAGTTTTTTAAAATTCTTTTTAGTGTTTTAGCTGAAAGCAGAATTCAGCGGTCACACACATTTAGCGTTTGTAATATTTTAAGTGTTTTGTTCATTTCCTGTCCAGTTCTCGTGTCTTTATGAGTCTGTGTCCACTGATCTGGTCCAGTTCTGTTCATGGCCCTGATTCATTAGGTTCTGTTAATATTAATCAACTGAACTGGGTTCTGTTTAGAGTTCTGTTCACCCACAGAACCCAACCAGAACCTGAACTCACGTCATGGCCTGGTAGATGGACTCCACGCCGTATCTCATGGCGAACTCGTCCACGATGTCCTGCTTCACCTCGTCGAAGTAGACCTTCCACGCATCGTCCCCGTGAGCCAACGGGATCCTCACCGTGCCGCCGCCCTCGGTGTCCGTGGAGAAGTGGAACATGTTCTGCACACAGGAAGAACAGTGAACAGAACGTCAGCGAGACTTAAAGAAAAAAAAAACACGTAAAGTTCAATTCATTCCAATTTGTTTCCTTTTTAAACTGATAGCTCCAATTTATGTGGTCACAGCTCATGGAATGTAATTCAATTCAGGACAGTCAAACTTATATTTTTCATTCCAATTCAAGACAATTTGATACGCTCCAATTCAATTCTGTTCATTTTCATAAAGTTCAATAGAATTCTGATCATTTCAGTTGACTTCAGTTCAGTCACACTGTTGTTTAAACTGTCAGATTAGGATGAAAAAGAGTTCAAATCCATTCCAATTCAAGCCAATTTGGCACACTCCAATTAAATTCTGTTCATTTTCATAATAGAATTCTGATTGTTTCAGTCCATTTAATTTCAGTCACACTGTTGTTTAAATCATAAGATTAGGATGAAAAAGAGTTCAAATCCATTCCAATTCAAGCCAATTTGGTACGTTCCAATTCAATTCTGTTCATTTTCATACAGTTCAATAGAATTCGGATTGTTTCAGTCTGTTTAATTTCACTCACTGTTGTTTAAAATTGTCAGATTAAGATGAAAAAGAGAGAGTTCAAATCCATTCCAATTCAAGCCAATTTGGCACACTCCAATTAAATTCTGTTCATTTTCATACAGTTCAATAGAATTCTGATCATGTCAGTCCACTTCATTTCAGTCACATTGTTGTTTAAACTGTCAGATTAGGATGAAAAAGAGTTCAAATTCATTCCAATTTAGTTGTTTAGTCTTAATATAGTCCAGTTTAGTCCAATTCATTTAAATACAATTCAACTGTAATTCAACCCAATGCAGATTAATCAATTTCTATTGATTTCAATTCAGTCAAGTACATCTCAATACGTCTGATTCATTTTAAAGTTTTATTACACAATTTATTCTACTTTTTCAATAATACAATTCAATAGGATTCATCCATAACTCAGTCTAACAGTCAGATGTTCCAATTATACTAACTTTAGTTCAGTCCACTTCAATTCAATACATTTTGATTTATAATCTAATCACTTGGAATAAACCAAATTTAATTAACAAATCTAAATCCATGCTTTCCAGTTCAAACCAATTCATTCAAGTCCAGTTTAATTTAATCCTATAGTCAGATTTTAATCCAAATAAAAACATTCCAATTCCATCCAACTATTTTTAGAAAGTTAGTTTTTTTTCCTAATCATTTTGACAGTTGAAGCCAATTCATTTCAATTGAATATAAAACACAGCGATGATTAAAAGGGTGGTTGTACCTCGTGGAGACACGTGTACTGAACGTGATAAGGAGCAACTTTCTCTTCTCCCTCAATCTCCACGCTGATCTGAAGACGAACGGCACCGGACACTGCCGACTTGTCGGTTCTCTTCTCTGGAGGCGCACACACAAACACACACAAACACACACACATTTAATTGTGTGATTTCCTGTTAGTAAAACTTCTCTTGAACAGGTAAACGACTTTAATAAAAACATGAAAAATAAACACAACCAATGAATGTTCAACATTGATCTTGGTCTAAACTTCTGGCATGAAAGACATTTCGTGAGTTTCAGCTCGTTACATTTAGCATCATAAGTTTTAGCTCGTTACATTTAGCATCA